ATTTTCCTGACCCTGAGCTAATGATTATAATGAAGCTATGAAATGGGCCAGCTGTGCAGAATTTCACGTAGTTTTGGACTAGTTGATCTACACAATGATTTGTGTTAGCCAGATTCCCCCCCTCCTTTTCCCAATATTCCCCTAACCAGTTTACCTGTTGCTTATTTGAAAACAGTTTGGCCATTTTGGGTTTCTAGCACAAATACAATTGCAAGCATTGAGATGATAAATGTTCGATTTCGCACAAAACTTTACCATGACAAAGACTGAGTAACCTAAAACACTGAAATAGAGTTCGTGGTTGTAGGAGGAAAACATTGGAAAAATGTTCGTCCAGCATTCAGGGTGGTGATTCTTAAGGCAGGACAGAGACATGGCCTGATGACCTGAAGAGGGGACACTCTTTCTAAAAACAGCCGCCTTCGCCTCTCACGAGGTTCCAGCATGCTTCTTGTAGGGCAAGTGAGCAGCTCCAGACAGACACCCGCCCTTAGTTGAGAATCATGACTATTAGGGGCCCGGGACTGACAGGGTACAGTATTAACTCTTTAGATGCATTAAGGCAGGAAAGAGATGGAAAATTTCTAATTAGGGTCTTAATGACCAAGCAGTTGGGACAACCTCATGGCTAACTCAATCAATTATACAAGAAGTGGTCTCTAGGGACTTGAGCAAAACCGTGGAATCATCATTTAAGTCCAAAGTAGCAACTTTCTAACCCATGCTTGACAGTTTCTTTGGAGTTTACAGAAGAGGAGCACACCTTCACTTGGGGTGAAACGTTCTCTGGTTTTACCAGTTTTGGGATAAATTTTAGAAGAGAACTTAGCCAACGACTTGAAGAGAGTGATTTTTTTACCTCCATATTTTCTCAAAACTTGTTATGTGTCCTTGAACCATCAATAAAAAACTAGAATTCATTTATTCAGCTGTGGCCCCTCTTGGGTAGGTTGTAAATAAGTGATTAAATAAGTATCCACTTACAGGTCATTGGGCAAGTTATTTTGGCTCTGTGTGCATTAGTTTTTCATCTGTAAAATAGGAATAACAAAAGTTATTATCTTATAGGCTTATTGTGACGAGTTCAATGAGTCAATATATGTAAACACTTAGAATAGTGCGTGTGTATAGCAAATGCTCAAGAGGTGATATTATTATTATTATTATATAATGATTTATCACCATCTAAGCCAAAGAAATAGAAGACATTTTCTTGGTTTGGTAGAAAGTGGGATCTTTGTAATGGCTTTGATGCATGGAAAGTGGTTGTACTGAGAGCGGTTAAGAGTGGTTAAGAATTTATTGTGTTAAGTCATCAGACCCGCGATTATTAATCTATCGCTGTCATTTTTCAGGCATGCACCTTACACAAGTTACTTACAAGCTCCATTTTTCTCATCTGTAAATTGAGGATAACAATTATATCTGCCTCATGGAATTCATACAGTTAAGTGAGAATGTGCATGAAAAGGGCTTGACCTATTGCCTGGTATATATGGTAGTACTTAATAAATGTTAGCTCATATTATTGGTCAATATTATTAGTCAATTTTATATAAATCCAGAGAAATTCAGATTAATGTGCTAAAGAGAGGCAAATTAACTAGCTTTGGAATGTCTGCTCAAATGGGGACATAACAGTCTCAGTAAAGAACATGCCTGTACTTCTCACCTGTGCTACTTCCTTCCTTTGCGTATAGGAAGCAGTCCCTGGGGGAATAGAAAGAACTCAGGTTCAAAGAGGTGAACTCACATAGAGATGCTACCCTTTTGCCAACTCTGTCAGCCGCTGGACACCTTGCTTTTTCCTTATAACCATTTTCCCTTCACTTTTCTTTATCCATACTTCAGTCCACTGAACTCATACCCTTCAGTTTACCTTTGGTAGTTACTTTAAAATTTAGGCCAAAAGTAATTTTTTAACAAAACAAAACAATAAATAAAATCAGCTGTCAGTGATCTAGTATCATCTCCAATTTTTTTTTTTTTATGTACAAAGATTCTGAATATAAGATCTTTATAAAAATCTCTCGTTTGGCCACATACATGTTTGCCAGTAATAGATTTTTTTCTTTGCATTGAAAAGAAATAAGATTCTATTCAGCCATAAAGAAAGATGAAATACTGCCATTTGCAATAACATGAATGGACCTTGAGAATATTATGCTAAGCAAAATGAGTCAGAAAAAGCTAAGAACCATATGACTTCACGCATGTGTAGGATGTAAAACTGAAACTCATATGAAACAAACAACAGTGTGGTGGTTACCAGAGGGAAGGGGGAATGGTAAAGGGTAATGGGGGCTCAATAGATGGTGACAGAAGATTATTTGACATTGGATGGTGGGCACACAATGTAATACACAGATCAGGTATTATAACAACCTACACTTGAAATCTATACAATCTTATTAACCAGTGTCACCCCGATACGTTTAATAAAAATATGTAAGTAGAAAAAAAGAAGATTTAAGATACTTTTGCAATTTGCCCATCTACCAAGGAGAAAGTAACACCCACTTATTAATAATCATTAAGTCTAATGCATAAGATGGAGATTGGCCACGAGGCTCGACTAAAGCAAACCTGATCTGGGGCTTACAGCAAGCCACGTGTTAAATAAAGCAAGCCAAATAAGTGCATTTACCGTGAGGCATACAAACATACACATCAAACAGAATATTTTGGCACTAAAGGAATCAGGTATTGTGTAACTATTTGAAGCCGGACAGGGCACAGCTGTCTCTAGGCGGGGCTAGTGAGCTGGAGATGAATTCACTCGAGTCGAGTTACCACAGTCAGGGTGTGGCAGCATCTTCGCAGCCTCCGAAAATCTTTTCCAGATGGGCTGAAGTTTACCAGGCTCAGAATAGCTAGTTCCATAAGCCAGGATGCCATTTTTAGTTGTCAGTGGAGAACAGAGCTGCCAAGCCTGTACCCATGCCAGTAGCACAATTCTCTGTCGTTGAGGAAACCACATGGAAAAAGGAATTACAGTTGGAAGTCTATTTGGAGAGAAAGGCATCAAAGCAAAGTGGATAATGTGTATGGGGCCCTGAGGTGGCCGGCTGCAGGGTCCATGCAGCCTGAGGGCCTGGGCCAGGGCGCTACCATTTTTCTCTCCCCAGGCATTCCTTGTCTTCTAAGTGACCATCTTCCCCCCAATCACCGTATTATTTGCAGATTGATTGACTGACAGATTTTCCTTTTTCGGTCTAAAAAGGTTTTGTCTCCATAGTGCCTCTGTTACACATTTCATTGATCTATGATGGTCTGATTTTGTAGTTTAATTTTTAGAAACCTAGTTATTGTCCATACATACTGTTAACGAAGGGGAGTGGCCTCCCCTCTTGCTAGCGGGGATGGCTTTCTTGTGCTAGCCCAAGAAAAGAGATTTTCTGAGACTTGCACTGGAGAATGAGTGATTTTTACTTCTGTGGAATGATACGTCTGGGTTTGCAAAGTCCCATTTCCCTTTGCCCAGGCATACAAGAAGTGAAGCTGGGCTTTAACAGAGCTAAAATCAGAGTCAGCATCCAGAGTCTCCGTTCCATACTGGAGCACGGTCCGGTAGAGCATCAGGTTAGCTGTAGTCCGTCAGCCCACTGCGTGTGGGGGCCCACACGGCTGTGGGCCACATGGGCAAATGCAAAGAAGCCAACAGTCACAAGAATCCCAAGCCAAGAGCACCAAGAGCAATGAGAGAGAACTTTGTTTAAGAGATTATGTATTGCCAAATTTTCTCCTGCTTGCAGTGGGCATGCCCATTCTGGCCAACTATCTCTGTCCCCTGGTATGATTAACAGTCAAGTACCTCCCCTATGTCACCCCGACTTTACTGGGTGTGCAGTTCTCTCCCCTTTGTTGGATCCCTTCTCCCGTGTTTTGTAGGGAACAGGCCAGTGGTTCTCTGGGGAGTTGCAAAGTTGCAGCTTCCTGATGCAGCTGCCTAAATTACATGCCTGTAATGTCTGGTCTTCTCTTTGCTTCTTTGCTATTATTAATAGGTAGCTAATTAAAATGGTGGTGGTACCACCTATATTCCTCTAATTTTCTGGTTGGTACATGTGGTCACACATGTTGACATACTCATGAATTAGTGACTGGTACCGTCACCTTTGCCCTATAGACAAGCAAAGCCACTGGCTGGGCTGTCTGCTCATGTGACACTGTGGGCAGGGCTGTAGGATGGCTACACAGCTCCCCAGGTGCTCTGGTTAGGTTTTCTGCACAGGTGGGTCTGAGGCTGCACTCAGCAGTGGGAAGGGCTATGGATTAGCTTCCTGGCCTGGCCACGACCACAGAATTGGCCCCAAGACTTGCAAGGCTCCTGGTCTGGGGACAAAAGCAGGCAGAACTGTGCACCATGCTCCCCAGACAGACAGCACCACTGGCTCAGCTCTGTAGAATGTCAAAGTCACTGGCTGGGCTTTTGGCTCAAGTGCTGCTGAGCTATGCAGCTTAGCAGGTGCTCTGGCCAGGCTTCCGGGCTGGACGAGGCCAGGGGATACGCTCATCAATAGGTGGGCTGTGAATTAGCTTCCTTGACTTGGGAAGAGTGTATCAGGGGCCCTTAGCTGGTGTGTTATATTAAGAACATACAGAGTATAACCTGCTGAATGAAGAGGCACAATTCATCCACATGGGGTTGACAATATCTCATTCAGTGTCCAAGCTTTCACTTTGGAGAGGTAAAACCCCCTGGGTTGTTTTGATTAAAGGCACAGTTTCAATATACTCACACAAAGAAAGTAAAATTACAAGGTTTTTTTTACCAACAGATTCCAGAAAAGGGAAGTAGGGGTGCAATGAGCCAGGGGTAGGTGGTCCTCATCCCAGGTCATGAGTGAGCAGGAGACAGAGAATCCTCCCACCAGGACAAGCATTTCCCCTTGTTTCTGGTGATCAGTGGAGGAAAAATGGCACATATGAGAACTGTAATGCTATCTACCATTTCACCAGAGTCAGCAATGCATTCTCTTGTTTCTTTCTGATTTTAGGAGCACCAAGTCAATGATTTGGAGAAGAAATATTACAGAAATCACCTATGCTATCCTCTTGGGATTCTCAGATTTTCCAAGAATCATAACAGGACTGTTTGTTGTATTCCTGTTGATCTACACTATGACTCTGACTTGGAACCTGAGACTCATTTTCTTAGTAAGAATGGACTCCCACCCGGCCAGAATAGCTCAGCGTTTGAGCATCGACCCAGGCACCAAGAGGTCACCAGTTCCATTCCCAGTCAGGGCACATGCCCAGGTTGGGGGCCAAATCCCCAGTGGAGGGCATGCAGGAGGTTGCCAATTGATGTTCTCTCTTATCAATGTTTCTATCTCTCTCCCTCTCCCTTCCTCTCTCTCTAAAATCAATAAAGAAAATAACAATAAAACAAACAAACACTCGACTCCCACCTCCACACACCCACGTACTCCTTCTTTGGATAACTTGTCCTTCTTAGATATCTGTTATTTGACTTCCATAATCCCCAAAATGCTCTCCAACTTCGTCCAAGAGCAGCAAATAATTACCTTTGTGGGTTGTGCTGTTCAGGGCTTTGTCTTTTCAACCATGGGCCTGAGTGGATCTTGTCTCAGGACAGCCGTGGCTTATGACCGACATGCTGCCATGTATAATCCACTTCTCTGTTCATCAATCATGTCACCCACCCTCTGTGTTTGGATGGCACCGAGGTCCTGTTTGGCTGGACTCTTTCTTCCATATTCCAATTGTGTGGCCTGCTTCAGCTCCATCTCTGTGGGCTTAAATGTCACACACCACTTCTTCTGTGACATGCCCCAACTGCTAGTCCTGTTCTGCATGGACACTTTCTTTGTACAACTCATGACTGCTGTATTAACACTGACCTTTGGGGTGATAAATGCTCTAGTTGCTATGATATCCTTGTCTGTATTGTCATCTCCATCATGAAGATCATTTCAACTAAAGGCAGATCCAAGGCTGTCAACACCTGTGCTTCTCACATGACAGCGGTCACCCTCTTTTATGCCTCAAGTATGTTTGTCTTCTTGAGTTCCAGCTCTGTAGGTTCCTCCAGCTTCGACAGATTTATATCGACCTTCTACAACATGGTGATTTCCATGCGGAATCCCTTGATTTACAGTCAGAGGAACAAGGAAATCAAAGATGCCTTGAAGGGGTTTGCAAAAGGAGAGAGGCCATTGTAGACAATCTATCTCGTCAAAATCATCTTAACCCTCAACAGTATGCACATGAATGGAGTATAATAAAATTGATACTACCTTTGGGCAAAGAAGGTTTAACTTGACACAGATAACATGCCAAAATGGACCAACATCTAACTTGAGGCCACACAAACACAATATCTCTAACTACTGGGGGGTTCATTCTTTTTACCCTGCATGAGCAGTAACCTCATCATTTATTAATCTACCTGCAAATATTTGTGAGACATCAAGATTTAGAAACTTGTTGCTTCTTTTTGACTCAGAGATTGAGCCCTGTTCCATCTCAGGACTCTGATTCTAAAAGAGAGATAGATACCTGGTAGAGGCCCCCAGGGATGTAGAAACCTTGTCTTCCAAATATTCTGAGGCAGCCTAGTGCAGAAACAAAGCTGTACAATTGACCTCGTTGTGCTGCCTCCTGGGAAAACCTGGCTGAGATAGTTAGTATTTCTCTAGTGCGTCTTTCAGTGCTAACCATCTAATGTCTTTTTGATCATATCTTAGTCTCAACCAGCTATAGACTAAGAAGGAGGAGGTGATTTGAATCATAAAGAGGAATGGAATGAAGTATGTGGTCCCTTCGGTTCTATTTACTTATGAGTCTGATGATGTAATTTCTTGCATCTAGTGTCCAGTGGGGATTTCTGGTGGGAGGTGATATTCAAAATCCATATCACAGCCAATAGCGATTTCTGATATTGTGGGGCTCAAGCTTCTCTTTCCCCCACTAAATCTGGAAAATTTACCCTTGGTTTCATAGCCAGTGGGATTACACTACCAAGTTATTTCTGACATTTTAATCATTTGTTCAAGTTTGATGTGAAGAGTTTTGTGTGAGAACTCACGGTAATAACAGTTTCTGAATATTCAATATTGGAGTGACTAAGAACAAATATGCAAAACTGCTGTGTATCCTTTCCTGTAGTCTGTGTTTAATATCCTAGAAATTTATGGCTGAATGGGGTGATATAATGGATGGAGTAGAATGGTTAGAGTTATTTTAATGCTGATATTTTTCAGGAAACCTCAATGGCCATGAGAGGCAATAGATAGTGGATAGGCAGGGTTCTCACCTCTGGCCAGTTATCGCTCTCTGAAGGAGGAAATAAAGCTTGTGGTCCTAGTGGTCTGGTTAAAAAGAGGAACAAGATGTGCTAACAACTTTGTTGACTTGACAGATTGCCCAGACTTGAACAAAGTGATATAAAGTAGACATTATTATATTTACACATAATACTTGGAGATCCATTGCTTTTTTAGTTTTTTTAATGAGTTTTTTTTTTAAAAATTTAATTTTGTTACAGATATTTCTTCTTTACATCCCCTTGACACCCTCCTCCCCATCCCCACCCCTCCCCAGCCCCCAGCATTGTTGTCTATATCCATTGGTTATGCATACATGCATATAAGTTCTTTGGTTCATCTCATCCATCGCCCCCATTCCCATACTCTGAGTTTGTCTGTCTGAACCATACTCCTTTCTATGTCTCTGTGTCTATTTTGTTCATCAACCCACCTTGTTCATTATATTCTACAAATAAGTGAGATCATGTGGTATTTGTCTTTCTCTGATCGGCTTATTTCACTCAGAATAATACTCTCAAGGTCTTTCCATGTCATCTCAAAGGATAAGAGATCTTTCTTTCTTACAATTGCATAGTATTCCATTGTATATATGTACCACAGCTTTTTTATCCACTCATCTACTGATGGACACTTGGGCTGTTTCCAGATCTTAGCTATTGTAAATAGTGCTGCTATAAACATAGGGGTACATATATTCTTTCTGATTGGTGTTTCAGGCTTCTTAGGATATATTCCTAGAAGTGGAATCATTGGGTCAAATGGCAGATCAATTATGGCTGCCATTAACAATTCATCAAACAAGTGCTTGGCAAGGTGTGGAGAAAGGGGACTCTAGTACACTGCTGGCAGGAGTGCAGACTGTTGCAGCCACTATGGAAAACAGTATGATGTTTCCTCAAAAGATTCATTGGGTTTTTAATGAATGTTTTGAGGGTTTCAACTTTAATGAGTCACGTGAATTATTCTGTTCAATTAAGGGTTGTAAGTACACAGGTAGTTGAAGCTTTTTCTAAATTTTCCATGAGCTTACACATGGACAGGATTGAGAGAAGGGGATTGTTGAACCTCTAGGAGAGAGCTTGCGGGTTTAACACACGCCAGGGATAGTGTAATGTAAATAATGGATGTTTGCTCCATGATCCCATCCAAGTATAGGTGTGTTCTTTGAAGCGTTCCTTTTTCAAATGTGTGGAAATGTATGGGATTCCTGTTGTAAGGGGCCATGAGAGATTCCGTAGGAGACAGAACTCTGTTATATGTTAGTGGGGAATATTTCCATAATATTTCACAGATGTACCACCTCTTGATGCGCTCAGATGAGCCCAGGGAGGTGACAAGTAGGAGCTGCTGATGGTAATTGGAAATTAACATTCTGGGAGCTGCTATGGTTGGTGAGGTTGCTGAGAACGTCTGTGTTCCAGGAACTGTCTCCACGGGCTGCTGTTGAGAACCATTAGCTGGAGCTAGTAATAGTAAATGCCATTAAACCATTCTTCTAAAGAAAAAACTGGGGAGAATAAAATGCAGTTATTCAGACTCGCCCCTGAAGACCATTAAGACATTGTGAATGGGATAGTTTTCTTTTTCAGATGTTTTATTGGCAGTATATAGAAACAGAACTGATTTCTCTATGTTGATTTTATATTCTGCAACTTTACTGAATTTACTTTTTATTTTAAAATATTTAAAATGTCTTTATTGATTTTTTTTTTAGAGAGAGAGGAAGGGAGAGAGAGATAGAAACATTGATGTGAGAGAGAAACATCGATCGGCTGCCTCCTGCACGCCCCCTTACTGGGGATCAAGCCTGCAACCTGGCCATGTGCCCCAACCAGGAATCGAACCCAAACCTCTCAGTCCACTGAGCCATACCAGCTGAGCTGAATTTACTTTTTAATTCTAACAGCTTTGGTGAAGTTTTTAGGATATTCTATATGGATAAAATCATATCACATGCAAATAGTGACACTTTTACTTATTTTTTTCCCAAATTGGGTACCTCTTATTTCTCATCTTGCCTGATTGCTCTAGCTAGGGCTTCAGTACATGAGTTGAACATCAGTGCTGGGAGGGGGCATCCTTGTCTTGTTTCGATTTTAGATGAAAACTCTCAGTCTTTCCCCACTGAATATAATGTCAGCAGTGGGTTTGTAATAAGTTATTGGGAGCTTTTAATATGAAGAAATGTTGTGCTTTGTCAAATACTTTTTCTACTCTATTGAGATAATCATATGATTTTTATCGTTAATTTATCAGTGAGTTGTCACATTTATTGATTCGTGTATGTTGAACTCTTTTTGCATTCCTATTGATCATGGTGCATGACACATTTTTAAAACTACTTAATCAAATTTTTAATTACAGATGTCCCTCCTTTTCCCGGCTTTGACACCCTCCTTTCTGCTTTCCTTCCTCCCCACCCCTGCCTTCACCTTATTATCGTCTGTGTCCATTGCTTATACATATATGCATATAAGTTCTTTAGTTTATTTCTTCCACCCCTCTTCCCTCTGAGGTTTGTCAGTCTGTTTCCTATTTCTATGTCTCTGGATCTATGTTGTTCATCAGTTTATTTTGTTCATTATATTCCACAAATAAGTGAGATCATGTGATATGTGTCTTTCTCTGATTGGCTTATTTCACGTAGTATAATACTCTCCAGGCTCTCCATGTCATCTGAATTTAGATCTTTCATTCTTAGAGCTGCATAATATTCCATTGTGTCTATGTACCATTGCTTCTTTAAAAAAATTTTTTTTCTTTATTGATTTTAGAGAGAGAGGAAGTAAGAGGGAGAGAGATATAGAAACATTGATGAGAGAAAACATCAATTGGCCACCTTCTGTATGTCCCCCACTGGGGATCGAGGCTACAACCTGGGCGTGCCCTGACTGGGGATCAAAGTGTAACCTCTTGGTACATGGGTTGATGCTCAACCACTGAGCCACACCGGCCAGACTACCACTGCTTTTTTATCCACTCATTTACTGATGGACCGTTGGGCTGTTTTCAGATCGTAGTTATTGTAAATAGTGCAACTATGAATACTTTTAATGTATTGTTGAATTTGGTTTGCTTATATTTTGTTGAGAATTTTTACATCTATATTCATGAGTGATGTTGGTCTATAGTATTCTTTCTTGTTATGCTCTTTCTGTCTTTGGTATCAAGGTTATGTTAGCCTCATAAAATGTGTTTGGGACACTCACTTTCTAAAGAGGTGTGTTTCTTGCCCTTATCCTGTCCATGTTCCACCATTGCACATTGGGTGTGTGGAAAACAGATAATTTGTTGTTTAATCCACATGTTTCTAAGCCAAGAAGAACCATACAGACATTATTAAGAGACTGCAGGGAACCCCTCGAAGAATCAGTATCAACTAGAGAAGATACTAATATGACCCTAGTCTTGTAAAAATATGAACAGAAAAATAGAGAAATGACAATAATGATAATATTAGTAATAATAAATTGCTAACATTTATTGTTTCCGAGCACTGGACAGGTATTATTTCATTTAAGTTCACCACAATGCTTTTATTATCACCTCCATTTGACTAAGTAACCGAGGCACAGTGAGATTAAGTAAAAGGGTCAAGGTCCCAGAGTTCACAAGTAATGAAGTCAGAATTCAACCCAAGTAGGTCTCTCCAGAGCCTGAGCACATACTCATCAAAACCACAATGAATGACTGTACTGATAAAGACCTCAAATCTTAGGTGACCACACAACCTAGTTTGCTTGGGACAATTCTGCTTGTAGTCCTGACATGGTTATCAATAACTCTCCTTCTTCTGACCAACGTTGTCTAGTTTGGATAGTGAATGACACGATCACTCTGTGTTGAGAGTCCCTCCTAAATGTCATAATTCTGAAAGTCTAGAAGAGAAAATT